TGCTAGTCAGGGCTGTGTTCAGATTAAGAAAGAGCAGGAGTCAGACAGCAGGGAGCCTCTCAGCCTCTGGAGGGAAAGGATGAGCATTCTGACACACTTTAAGTCTCCTCCATCTCCTGCTTCATGTCAGAAGAGTTTATGATATAGTTTATCATCTGGGTCTCTAGTTTATTGCTCTATTTAGCAATTACAGTTTAGGATTTTTTTTTTCTCCCACAGTGCCAAATAGCCCCAAGAAGCCCTATCTGATCCACGTAGCCATCTTATAAAGAGTCATTGTTTTATGTGTCTTTTTTTTTTATTACAGGTTGTTACTAAGAAGGATTAGCTCTCAGGTTGCTGGGTGTGTATGTCAAGTTAATCAGTGTTGCAATGTTTGCAGTTGCCCTTCATAATGACAGACAGGGAGGAGCTAAACCACGCAGAACAAGGAACCAAGAAAAGGGGGAATGTAAAACAGGGACAGATGAGGCGGACGTTTGTTAAGAGTGCGCTTCTTTTTGTCACAAACACCTACCCTCCTTGGTTGGAAGTGGGTTTTTTTCCACCGTGCTCGTCTTCTTCAGCGCTTTCTTGTCAAAGTTCGTCACTTCCTGGTTGACTGGATTGTCACTCATTTTGGATGGATGAGTTCTAATGGAGGAAAGCGGGAGAGAAAGTACAAATAAACTTTTTTAATATTCAAAGAATGGACGAGAAAGCACAAACGCATGATGCGGAAGACATTTTAAGATGCTATCTGCAGTGCATGCCCATACAGGTGTGCGAATCAAGCCACACCTCAGTTTAAAAAAAAAAAAAACAGGAGAGCGAGAGAAGACAGTACTGGGCTGAACTCTGGAGTTATGCAAGCCACTCACAAGAAATAACATGAACAAACAGCCCTAATGGGGTGTCATGTTACACTGCACTGTTATTTACTAGCATTCAAATCCACAAGGGAGAACTGAGGGGAAGGAAACATGCTGTACTATACAATGATTTGCATTTACGTGCAGACATTAAGGAGATTAGGAAAATATTAATTATACACAGGGGATAAAAAAGAGGCGAACTACACCAGAATCTGAGTGGAGAAAATAAAACTTTGCAGCACAAGTTGTTGTTTTTTTTCCCACAATAAGCATAATTTAGATGTTTTTAGGATAATGCAATGGGAAGTTTGCCATCAGGGGAGTGCCTGGTATAACATTATCTCACCCGCCACCTCCCACACCTACAGATTGCAGCTTCTCAAAGCTCTGCACAGCATGAATGAGAGCATTTTAAATATCTAACATCATACTTAGCATGTGGCAGGTGAGAATATACATTTACAAGGCCTCTGGGGGACACGAGAGGCTGAAAAAGCAACGTTAAGTAGCCTAATAATGAAGTCCCACATACAGTGCAGAGGAATGCAGCACTGCCAGGTAGGCTATCAACACACACCCTGCAGTACAGCAGGGTAATTCCACCAACTGTATTGATATGGCTTTATGGCCGATGGCAAAAAAAAAAAAAAAAATGTTGTATACATAACACCTATAAGCCTCTGCTTCACAGTCTATTAATAATCCCTTAAAAATTAATCGCATCTACACTGCATTGCATTACATGAATTAAATGTCCTTTTCAATGCAAATGACAAACAGAAAGGAAAAAAAAAATCCTAATAGTTTTACCTGGTGCAGCAGAGAGCAGCGAGACCGTCCTTTACAGGTAAGATGCGAATGTGTAATCCGTGCAAAGCCAATGGTTTAAATAGAGTCAACACGCCCTTCTGCACGCCAACATGGACACCGATGCTCTGGACGCTGATTGGCTCCCAAAGCTCGGAGGAAGAATTTTAATTGGACGCGTTTCTCTCCCCCCCTCCCTCCCTCCCGCGCTGTAGTATCGCAGAGGACTGTTCCTTCCGAGGCCAAAGTTCTGGATGTTGCAATCACCTGAGTCATCTGCTCCTTCCTGTACCTGCATGCAATGAATGAAGAGCCATTGTTTCCTTTCATCAGACTCTGAGCTCCTGTCATCGCTGGTGCGCATGAGTCCATGTGTTCATTTGTTAGCACAGCACCATCTAGTGGACAGCGTGTGACACGACGTCAAATCTAATGCAGTCGTTCTCAAATGTATTCACACCCTTCCATTCAAGAAAAGGCAAAATTCACAATAGTCACTCAAATAACTAGAAACTGAAAAAGTAGAAATAAATAAATATTTGCTAAGTTATAACTTAGTGAAATAAAACATTGCTTTTGAAATGTGGTTAAAAAGAATAATTAAAAACAAACCAACAAAGGACAAATTAGAGCACTTTGCTGATGAGCAGTGGGCCAAAATCAAAATACCTGTCAACAGGTGCAGAAGTCTGACTGAGAGTTACAGAAAACACTTGATTACAGTGATTGGCTCAAAGGGTTGTTCAACAAAATATTAGTTTACGGGTCCCATCATGCTTGTACTTGTACTTTTTTTATTTTTTAAATATTTCTGTAGTACAACAATTCAAAAGCAATTTCCTAATTTTCATTAAATTTTTATTTATTACCACTTTTGTCAATTTCAACTTATTTCAGTGACAGCTGTTTTTTTTCCCCCTTCTTTAATGGGAGGGTATGAATCCACTTGAGGATGACTGTACACTGTGTGTACAATTATTAGGCAAGTGATTATTTTGACCATATCATCATCTTATCCATAATTTCCAACTCCAAGCTGTATAAACTTGAATGCTTATTGGATTTAATGCATATCAGGTGATGTGTATTTGTGTAACGAGGGAAGGTGTGGCCTAAGGAGATCAACACCCTATATCAAGGTGTGCATAGTTATTAGGCAGATTCTTCTCCTCAGGAAAAATGGGTCAAAAAAGAGATTGAACTAACTCTGAAAAGTCAAAAATTGTAAAAAGTCTTTCAGAAGGATGCAGCACTCTTGAAATATCGAAGATATTGGGGCGTGATCACAGAACCATCAAACGTTTTGTTGCAAATAGTCAACAGGGTCGCAAGAAACGTGTCGAGAAGAAAAGACGCAAATTAACCACCAAAGATTTGAGAAGAATCAAGCATGAAGCAACCAGGAACCCACTATCCTCCATTGCTGCCATATTCCACAACTGCAACCTACCTGGAATGTCAAGGAGTATGAGATGTTCAGTTCTCAGAGACATGGCCAACGTAAGAACGGCTGAAACCCGACCACCTCTGAACAAGACACATAAGTTGAAACGCCCAGAATGGGCCAAGAAATATCTGAAGACAGATTTTTCAGAGGTTTTGTGGCCTGATGAGATGAGAGTGACTCTTGACGGACCAGATGGATGGGCCCGTGGTTGGATCAGTAACGGACACAGAGCTCCACTTCGACTCAGACGGCAGCAAGGTGGAGGTGGGGTACTGGTATGGGCAGGTATTATTAAAGATGAGCTAGTTGGACCTTTTCGGGTTGAAAATGGACTCAAAATCAACTCTTAGACCTACTGCCAATTTTTAGAAGACACTTTCTTCAAGCAGTGGTACAAGAAAAAGTCTGCATCTTTCAAGAAGACTTTCATTTTTATGCAAGACAACGCTCCATCACATGCATCAAAGTACTCCACTGCGTGGCTGGCTAGTAAAGGCCTTAAAGATGAAAAACTAATGACATGGCCCCCTTCTTCACCCTATTGAGAACTTTTGGGCCCTTTTTAAGCAGGAAATTTACAGTGAAGGTAAACAGTACACCTCTCTGAACAGTGTCTGAGAGGCTGCGGTTGCAGCTGCACAAAAAGTTGATTCTGACCAGATCAAGAAACTGACTGACTCCGTGAATGGAAGGCTTGTGACTGTTATCGAAAAGAAGAGCGGCTATATTGGTCACTGAGGGTTTTTATTTTTATTTTTTGAAATTTCAGAAATGTTTATTTGTACATTTTGATTGTGTTTATTACACTCACTTGAACAGGTGAAAATAAACAAGTGAGATGGGAAAATCTTTGTTTTTCATTTAGTTGCATAATAATTCTGCACACGTATAGTTACCTAATAATGGTGTACATAGAGATATTCTCTTAAGAAGGCCAAAACTTCACTTTTACTACTTCAATGTTCAAGTTTGAGGGTTTGTTAACATTTTGGATTGACCAAGAGCAGTGTAGTTGTACAAAAACAAAATTAATCCTCAAAAATGTAACTTGCCTAATAATTGTGCACACAGTGTATTTGTGGTATGAGAGCAGAAAGTATGTTTAAAGTAGAAAATCCTGTCAATGCATGGATAATTTCATGCATCTATAAGTGCATTTGGAGGAAAAAAGTGTGTATTCTGCAAAAACTAAGTGATGTTATTCTGTAAACAGGGGATTTAGTTTTTTCCAACAAATACTCAGATCAAAAATATAAATGCAGCGTGCAGTGTTTTATTAGATTCCATCCATTCTTCTCAACATAAGGTGATAAGTACCTGTCGTTCCTGCATCTCTGCAACAGAACTGAGCAACAAAGTGCGCACTAGATTCAAAAGAATAATGTATGGGTCAAAAGTGGAGTCACGGACCAGAAAACACAGGTAAATAACAAATCACGCATCTAAGACACAGAGAGTTAATGAGATTTTTAATGCTGGCTTGTGGTGTGTTGTCCCACTTGTCCTGAAAGGGCTCATTGAAGTTGGTGAACATTTTGGGGGACAGGGTCACGCTGTCAGACGCGTCCATCTAGAACATCATGTGGCAGGTTCCCGGCGTCCGGCATACCAACAGCTCATTCTTGTCTTTCTCTTGTCATCTGTTGCATCGTGTCATTTGAATAAAGCTACGTTTTAAGGTGGACTTTTATAGTCACTGGTCAAAGGAGGGTCAGTGTGCTAATCATGCAGATGTCTGATTATTCTCATTTAAAGCCACACCTGAATAGGGTCTGGATGAACTCATCAGTCAAGATCCCTAGTTGAGCAGCTCAGAATCTTTTTATCCAAACACAACAATAGAAATGAGATTAAACTTTTTCTCTACGTCAGAAAAACAGACCGTCTGCACATTGTTTTTATATTTTTATTCAGCAGAGATACATGTTAGGGTATTAATCTACAGTGTAAATAAGTTTATTAATTCCATTTATTGACCCCCCTCCATGGGATGAGAGGGTTGAAAGTGTTGTAGAGTATTTTAGTTTCAGATTAATCTGACCTGCATGTGTTTCCGCATGTGGCAAGTATCTGAAACCTTTACACAGGAAGACCCTAAAATCGTCTTGCAGCGAGACAGCAGTGCTGCACCACTGAGACGCAGCCTATGATTGAAGACAACCAAGTGGCTAAAGTTCCAACTAAATCATCTTGACAACTGCAAAGAAGGAAACAACTTATGTAGCACAGGGAGGGGCAATCTCCATAAAAACAACAGATGGGTTTATGTAGTTTAAACAGCGAAAGAGGTAGATTTGAAAAACATTTTTATTACAAATAAAAGACAAACAAGTTGCTTAATGATGCAGAATGAGTTGAATTGCCTTTAGTACACAAAATGTCCAGAACAATAACTCAGTTTCACCCCGCAAAATATTAAGTGAATTAAATATAGAGGGGCAAAAAACAGCAGCAGGTATGCTACAATAGAAAAAACTATTAACTTCCATCATGGACTAAAGTTGACAGTCCCTGGGAAACAAACCATCATATAAAAAAGATCTACCTGAGAGTGATACTGTATGATCCCACAGGGCATTATAGAACCGCAGAGCCCTGTAACACATTAAACAATCAAACAACACTACTAAAGGTAAAGATATATTTTAAAACCCAGAATACATCACAGTCTGGGAGGTAAGGTAGCACCTTAAACAGGTTACCTTGAGTGAGGTGTAAATGTAAAAACAAACCCGAGTGTCATCACGCATCATCTGGTAATGTCTAAGTTAGCATACTTCATAACTGCAAATGAAGACGAACAACCAGTCAGACAGGCTGCACTGAGTACATCGGGACCGCAAAGGTAGCTTGTTGCAATATCATACGTTAAATCATCTTGATCAGTACACAAACAAAATGCATCAAGCTCCTCCGTGCACTGAAAGGGGCATGGCGTCAGTTTTCCATGTTGCTGGGGGATTCGTGAGAAGAACATCATCATCAAAGCTGCTGAGCTGTTCAGATATGTTGACTTTTAGACCCTCGTATGGATGAAGTTTTGAAAGAGATTTTTCCCATATTGTAACTCGCTTTTTTGTAAACTCTCCACGTCCTTCAAAGTAAATGCTTCCAATATGTAACACAGGCTTTCTGTTGTAAACTTAAACTGAGATGAGCGCTACTTTTTAGCTTTAGAAAACAAAACTAACTTTCTGACTATGCAATTTCTACATCTCACATTCAAGTCTGACCTTTGTGGCAGGTGTCGGCTCATCTTTTTCTCCTAATTCGCTGTCATTTATATCGTCTACTTTGTTCAGAAGAATAAAATGCCCCCCAAAAATTACCACAAGAACAAGAAACAACTGTATCCAGAGGCTGAGTCGTATCTACCATGATGAGTAAAATGACTTAAATAAACAAAGATGTCGGAGTTTCCTTATAAGATAAAAAAGGCAACCTGTGATTCACCAGCACCATATGTATATTTCTAAAAAACAAACAAACAAACAAAAAACTTTGGCTCATGACAAATATTCACCCAAACTTCCTTCCTTACATCTGTAAATAATACACTGAATAATGTCTGAATTCCACTTAGCTGCAGTGGTTTCAGGATACTAAAATCCCCGTCACACTGTAATGGTTTAATTGGCACACTTGAATTAGGTAGAGGGGTAGGCGATACTGCAACATTTGATATTGATCCGATGCCAAGTAAATACAGGGCCTGTATCGCCGTGTATGTATGTGAGGAGAAAATGAGAAAGAGGAGACAAGTGAGCAAGAGATGTGAGCAAGAGGAGCGGTTTTTTGCACAACCACAATGTAGCGGTTGCTGAACGTACAGAAGAGAAACTGAAATTTAAGTGTGGGTTCTATTGCAGAAGTATAGATCCGATTCCGATACCAATGTGGTATCAATACTATCGATACTTTGGATTGATCCGCCAACCACTAGTAGAAACATTGTGAATGCTATGAATGACACCTGTGCTTCTCCTGCTATGAAAGATCCTGCTTGAACATAAGACACGAAATAGGATTTGAATTTGGGGGCTTAAATCCCTTTCATTTCCAGATGAAGTTGCATGAAAAGAGTAACACGGAAGGTCAACAAGGAATAAAATACTGCACATTACTGACAATTACATTTTTAGCATGTCAAGTCTATGTAATCCAGTCACAACCATATCCTGAAAGATAATATGACAAACTATGATAAACAGTGACTCCTCAGCCTGATCGCTTCTCCTGCCTGTCATAAATAGCAGTGGTGATTCCCCATGTGATGCATGACCTCAGAATAACCAGGGAGCCCCCTCGGTACAGCAGAGGGAAACTCCTGTGGCGAGATTCCCACAGCAACCTCCAACAAGCCAAGACCCCTTTCACCTCCCCGCCGACCTGCGCCTGCATGTTTGCCACCAGTACAGACAGCGGGTACAGAGTCAGGCTGATGGCCATGGAGGTCAGCGTCCCTGAGACGAAGGAGGAGGCCACCGGAGAGAGGCCCTGCTCCGCCACGACACCGCACACAGGCCCCTTCAAGCCAAAGTAGAGGGAGCTGCCGAGGGCGTTGCGGACTGCGATGGGCAGGAATCCTCTGTAGTAGCCTGTGGCCAGCCTCTGCGCCTTCAACTTCACAAGAACACTCTTCAGGGAGGGCAGGTGGCGGTCATTCTGGCCGTTCTGCAACACATTCTGAACGCGCTCAAAGGGAGTGAACACCACAGCTTCTATTACACCTGCACCGAGGCCAGCCACAGCAGGCAGAGCAGAGGTGGAGATGACGTTCTGGGAAGACAACTGGTGGAGGAGGGTGTCTTGGAGACCAAAGAGCAACGTCCCATTCAGTGTCCTCATCACCAATGGTGGAGCCACGCCCCTGTAGAGCTTCACAGGTCCCTCTTTGCGGAGCTGTCCCACCGCCTGGTGAACAGCAGTGTTGTGAATTTGCTGACGAAAGACAGTCTTATAGACGGGGAAGACGATGAGGGTGGGAAGAGTCGACAGCAAGCTGGAGGTTCCACCATGCAAGTAGCTCTGGAAACGAACGACTGGGTCCCCTGGGCCCTCCTCATCTTGTTTACGCTCAGGACTCACTGTCATCCTTGAGCTTAGAAAAATGAAACCACAAATCAAGTCCGGCTGGCACTGACCCAGTAACAGTGATGCTGCAAATCAAGAAATAAACCAAAGATCTCAAGGAGGAAACATCACAGTCAAAGAAACTGAATAACTTAACTTAGAGCATGTGATCATAAACATTTACTCACCCAGTCAGCTGTCACAAGCAGAAAATTGAGTAGTGAATAAGCTACTTATTTCCCAACGTTCATTGTTGGAAATTGAAGGCAGCACAGACGAGTGTTTCTTTCTCACTAGCACAAGGAGAGCAGTAATTTGTGGTAAGTGGTGTAGTTCCGGTGTTCGCTTCGACAATGTGAGCGGTGTGAAACTGCATTTCACATAACAAGATGCTCTGAGCGTTAATCTGCCGGTGTCTGTCATTGGCCCGCCTCGTCTAGAATAGCTATTGGTCAAGGCGGGCTACGTCACGACGTCGTGGATTGGCTGGATTAGCTGTCAATCAAAGTGCAAGAAAGGGCGTCTTCAATGTGAGACACAAGCGGGTTTATATCCAACTGAATGTTATTATTAACAATGGCAAGCTGGACTATTTTTACTTGACACATGAACGTCGACGCAGTTTGCAGGAGTCTAATAACAGCTGATAGTATGAAACGGAAACGTATCTGCACTGCCAGAAAATAAAAGCTGGTGCTTGTAAATAAAGGCAGCCAAAAATAGTGAATCTAAAAATACTGGAGTTAATAATTAATATTATAGATTTTTAGTTATATAAGGTAAATTACTCTAGGTAAGTAAAATAAATTCCCTGTAGTCTCACACTACCTTATGTCCACAGCTCTGTGAGGGAGCATAAAAACCTCACTGGGACTATAAATGGAACTTTAGCTTTAAGCAGTGCAACTAATGTGTTATGCCTTGTCCATGTTAAATGAATACAGCTTTGGAAACATTTTTTATACCATCGGTTTTCTTAAAGTCTGCACAACAGACCTTCAACAATAGTGATTTTAAAATAATTTTGTAATAGTGGCAGCTTCTAAAAAGACACAAGTGTTTAATGATAGTTGAATAATGCAATAAATTACGCTTAAAAAGACAAAACTGTAAGCATTTCAAAAGTGAAACTAAATTGTCAAAAACATTCTTTGAGTCACCATTTTTTGTGCAAAAGCTGAATATGTAAAGTCTTCTGCTAATCAAAACTAAATGATCTCATAATGATTTGTGATTCGTGAGAAATGACAGAAACAGTCATCTTGGTGCTTAAAGAAGAGTAATATAGTAGGAGAGCCATCACTGACTGGCTTGGAATCAGCAAAACAGCTCTCCCATAAAACCAGAACAAAACAATGCGGTATAGCTCCACCAAGTATCGCAAAGTAAGAGGCAGAGACGAATTGTTTTCAAAGCCGCACAATAAAAATATATAAAATTACATCTATGACCCTAATTCTCTGTTGCATGATTTCATATTGTGCCTATAGGCATTTATAAACCCAACAGCAAATCTCACCAGAAACCAGACAACAAAGTTCAACGTTTAAGATGTAACGAATATTTTATTAAGAATGCGTCCTCAAATAACTGGAGCATTCACACTACTGAAAAAGTAAACACAAAGGTTTGGATTATGCAAATTAATGACAAATCCTTCCTCCAGACATACAAAAAGAAAAAACAAAAACAACAAAACAGCAGGTGAACATTTCTGAAGGAAGCTCCAGCCTGCAGAGACCCCAAGCTAAAAACCCGACAGCTTATCTAAAGACAGATCTTCATCGTAGACCCTCGAAGGGTAAATCTCGGACACTGGGCAAACCCCACTCAATGAGGGCACCTCAAGAGTTGAAAGAAATATCCCAAAATGTTGTTTACAGCCTGCTAAGACACATGAAAGTTCATCATGCAGTGACAAAACAAACAGCAAAATAAGGGAGGGAGGGAAAGAGATCCAGACTGGAGGAAAATGAAATTTCATTTCAGACTTTTGAGGCACTCTTGGTTGAGTGGAGCTTCAGTGACACTGTAAACTAGTTCAACACACATTCACTTCATCAGTTTTTGTCTTTCACACGGCAGAGAAAACGGGAGCAACATGATAAAACTACGCTCGTTCATTGTAACAAAAAATGCACTGTAACAGCTTCAAACGCCAGATGCTTCTCCTGACCACTGGAACCTGCCAGAGATATTTATATAAGCTCTTTGACAACAGATTGAAATGACTCCTGGTGAGGTAAAATGGTCAGGAGAAACTATCTCAAATGTTATAAATGAAGGACAAATTTCACAGTGGATAAATACTTCTTTATCCATATACAATAAATACGCCAGCCTAAATCTGTAAGCTTGCGATTGCTTTGATGCCCTAGACGTGAAGGGACACCGCTTGAAGGGTAAAGTGAGGTGGGGTCAGCATTAGTAACAGACATGACAGTTCTTCTTTTTTTAATATATATAGTTAATTAGCAGAACTTCTTTGTTAATGGTTGTGTTTGGGTTGGGGGATTCCCTCTTCTTTTATTTGGTGTTAATAGCACACAGTTGATGGTAAACACCATTTGTTACAAGGGAACATGGCTGAACAGGTATGACACAGACTCGCCGTTGTGAGTTCTACGAATGGCCTCTGCAAGGATCATGGAGATGTCAATAACCTGGAGGCAGAGAAGCACAAGTTGAAAAGCTGGAAAAAAACACTATTTGGGAGTCATTTATTAAGTGCGAATACCAGCTTCCAAAATATATTCATTGCTCAACCTGAGGATGTTCAGCTTTGTTTCTAAATGCATTGATGAAATTATTCTGTATTTTCCACTAATGGCTTAAGCCCCTCACCTGTATTTTGGGACAATGCTTCATCTTCTCCTCCTGAGGGATTGTATTGGTGACCACCACAGCTTCAAAACAGGCATTGTTGATGCGTGAGATAGCTGGCCCAGAAAAGATGCCGTGGGTCAAGATGGCATACACCTTGGTGGCACCGGCAGAAATAAGTCTACAGAAACAGCACAATGCATTAGAAGTCTCCACATGACCGGATATACCCTGTAGCAGAAGTCTCTAAATTGAATTCAGTATTGGAGTTCATTAAACCACAGCATCCCACTTGATCGTTTCTTTTCTTGTGATGTAAATGTATTTATGCCAAAAGGTAAATAAAGGGTCTTACTTGTCAGCAGCATGGCAGATTGTGCCACACGTGTCAGCCATGTCATCCACCAGAATGGCAACCCGATCTGTCACATCTCCAACCAGAACCATGCGGTCCACCTCGTTTGCCTTTTTCCTCTCCTTGTGAATAAGAGCAAAGTCCACATTCAACCTGTCCGCTATTGAGGTGACCCTGCAAAAAAGGAAAGTCCACAAGTTGAAGCTGATGTGCACGTATAAAACAATTTGTGCATGTTGAATTAGAGTAAACAAAAGGTTAATCTAAAGTAAATTTCAGACGTGATACGGTGAGGCTAAGGTACGCTCAAGGGTAGAACTTATGACGAGTGGCCTCGTCAGCATACCTCTTGGCTCCTCCTGCATCAGGTGAGACGATGATGCAGTTTTTCCATTCAGGGATGTTCTCTTTGATCCATTTGAGCACAGCTGGCTCTGCATACAAGTTATCAACGGGTATATCAAAGAAACCCTGGGGAGAAAAAAAAGGAATAAAAGACACACGCACTGGGGTCACAGGAGTTGAAGAAATGGGATCATATTTCTACTTGTTGACATGTGTGTGAACAGGCCAATGCCAATCAGATTTCTATTGTAGGTTCTCCCTAATCAGCCACAAATTTGGAACACATACCAAAAAGAGGATGATTTATGGCAGGGTAGTGAATAAGTCGCACTACTGTTCAGGTCTGTGTTGCTCACCTGTATCTGTGAGGCGTGCAAGTCCATAGTGATTATATGGTCGGCGCCTGAGACTGACAACATGTTGGCCACCAACTTGGCAGAGATAGGAGCACGGCTCTGCAATGAAAACAGATCTCTTCAGTCACATGGAACAAGTGGAGTGGCAAGCATGGCTCACTTCTAAAAATAACACCAAACTGAGAGCTTAGCAATGCAGATAATTATGCCAGTCATTTATTACAATAGTCCTGACTCTAGACCTTAATATGAATTATTTTCAAATAGTTGTTGCATTTACTTATTATACAAGATTAGTGATATGGAAAAATCAGCAGTGTGCATATATAATGGCTGGCAAAAATCCAGAACAGTCAAACAGGTTTAAAAAATGATTACGTTTGTCTTTACATGTAAGAATGATACTGCATTTTTTTCCACCATGCAACACAATCTCAGACAGTATACAGTCTGGCCTCTCAATACTACGTTTAGTAGATTTATGTTTTGGTAGATAAAAGTGCAAAACATTCCATCATGCAATGAAATGCTGAAAGAATAATAAACAACTCGCCACAGTGGGTGGAATGAAATCGGAGCCTCAGTTAATGCAGCGAAGCATACAGAGCAGGGAAAGGAAAACAAACGAAAACAGAACGCAAATATGCCTTGTGGAGCGGGAGCTGATGGACATGGCTGCAGGCTTCTTGTCATGATGCTTGATGGCAAATGGCATGACAGAAGTAAGTAGACAGATATCCCTCACCCCCACCTTGTCCTTCTTGTCTTGCCGGGCATACGGAAAGCAGGGGATGACAGCGGTGACCCTGGAGGCTGAGGCAATCTTGCAGGCGTTGATCATGATCAGCAGCTCCATCAAATTGTCATTGATCTCCCCACAGCCGCTCTGCACGATGTAGACATCCTCCCCACGTACGCTCTCCCCTATCTCCACGCTGCCAGAGGCGAGGGGGGGGAAAAAAAGGTGACAAAACAAACAGCACTTAGAGCCGTGAAGCTAACACACCATGGCAGGCAGGAGATAGATGAGGGAGAGTAAACAATGGCCTGAGTGACTACATCTGGATAAGGGTTCAAGTGAGGATAGAAAAAAAAGAAGTATGTAGCGCCAGAAAATGACAGTTTCAGTATGTTATGTGATGTAACTTTAAAATGTTGGTATAAGGCAACTGAAGTGGCTTTGCTGCTGAGAAATAGCAGACAGTTTGTTGAGTAGTTAGCATGAGTTGTGAGCCATGTGTGGACTACAAGTTCCTGGCAACACTGCGCGGCAATTTCACCGTGACACCACGTTTCTCATTAATACATGTCGCTAGGTTACAAACAATTTGCGTACCAGCTACACCCATGGTTATAAGCGTCTTTTGCCACAACAGCAAACCACTCACCATGTTTCTTGGTTGCTGAATTTTTTCGTTACAACCTTCCCCAGTTCGAGTCCGAGGCGGTCGGCTATTTTCTGAGACAGGTCCGGATGCGAGCTACCGCTAAATATTTTGATATTCGGCATTTTGTTGCGGTCCAGGGCGGTCGTGCGGTCCAAGCGGGCTGCGGCGGCGGGCGGCTGTAGAGTCAGAGGGGAGTCGAAGGTTCCGAGACAACCGCTGGAGACGGATCAACAGTTGATGAGCTACTCTTACCGAGCTTAAGTGTGTTCCCTACCTATCCACCATTATGTCCCACACATCACGCGTGCGGCTCTTCCTCCCGGGGCGGCGCGCACGCTTTCACTTACGTCTCGCCGCGATGACGTCATTCCGGCCCAAACGGTCACGTGGGAACGACGTAACTATGGAAACACTCCACTTAATGTTAGCGAGAAAGCACAAATAAGCGCACAAAAGTAGGTGAATACATGGCAAATTGTACAGATAAGTCACAATTTCAACTATTTTTTTCCTTTGTGTTTTACACTTTATGGGTGCAGAGATATTCTAAGTTTATTGGTAAGTTAATATTCTTATTTAAACCTTGCATACTCCGTTGACGTCTTCTGTTTACCAACTTCACCGTCATGTGCAGGGTCGTGCTAGCATCTTAGCCTATATTAGCTCCAAGATGTTTGGTGTGCTTTATCATACAAAATATTATCAATAGCCTGTCAGCTCTGTAGATGGAGATGTAATAAAACTGCACTTTCTGCTTGGGTTGTCATAAATGCTACAGCCTATTTTCTCATTTAGGTAGAAACAACCGAGTGGTTATGATAATATATACCAGTCTATGGTAGGGACCCTGGCAGCACTTCCTTTAGGACCCCAGAGACAACATGGTGACCAAGCAAGTGTGCTTTATCAAATTCCTCCCCAGAAGAGGTAAGAATGCAAAAACACATGTAGAGATAAGTACAGGTAGTTTAGCAAAGTCAGCAATTTTGTAGCAGGTATTTTGTCTTATCAGAACAGATTAATAATAATAACAACAGTATAATATAATAACAGTTAATAATAAAATGACTAAATGTGGCACACTGAGCCCGGACTTTGTCATTTATACCTGTGTGTTTCCCACTGAGACATGTGACAATGTCTATTGTGAATGCAGTCTATTAACCATTACAACAACATGCTGTATAGAGAGGTTTGGCTGATGTTTGAATCGCGAGTGTTGTTGATCTAACATGCACTGCAAGTTGTACTTTTAAAACCTAATTTACAATTTTGTAACTGACTCCATCCTTAATGCATCATTTTTGGCAAAGAGTCTCCCTTCCAGTTGCTGGTTGGCTCAGCCATGATCTGCTTTTCAAAATTTTAGCAACAACACAAACATCACAGGAAAATATGTAAGCCTATGTTAAATGTCAACAAAACAAAACCATTTTACTGTTAGCGGTTGGTGTTGTGTCAAGTCAAGGAGGTTTGCACTGTGAAGTCAACATCAGTTTTTGCCAGAGGCAAATGAATGAAGCAACCACAGCAGTAAGAACCTGCTTGCAGTAGCAAGAGAGACGTTTCCTGGTAATGCATCATTCACATGACGTCATTTGTTTGCAAGCATTCTAATGGACACCATGGCATTACCGCAAGTTTAATGCATGCAATGTCATTTCCAAGTTCTCTGAAAGAGTTTATATAATATACTTTATTGCTCTTAAAACATGAGTTAACTTTGTACACAGACAGAAGACCACAGTGACGACAAGATCATTGACAGTAAATAAAGACAGGAATGAATAGGTGCACATAAAGAAACAATGGATCAAGTCATGGTGGGTCCATCGTGTGAATGAAACACAGACTAATCCACACAGTTTGGCAAAGCAACTGAACAATGACAGCCACAGAAAATGTTTATTATAATGTTGAAATGTTTAAGTGTTGATGAGAAAACATTGTCTGATATTTTTGTTTATAAAAATAAACATGTCCCATGCTTTATGCTCATAATATATTCTTTAAAATATATGTTTTGCTATTAGTCTCTATGTTACATTACTACTATAAATAATTACCTTACTGACATGTTTTATTTTGTCCTATTTACAAAGTAGTGAAGAGTTTGAATAAATCTTAATGTTACAAGTAATGTTTTAAAAGTGTTTCTTACTCTCTCAAATGTTTTATCTTATTTACATTTACAGTGTAAAATTATACATTTCCACACTGGATGCCATTTGCAAAACATTAACATATTGCCACAATACCCTTTCATTTTTGCCTGTGTCTTTACTTCAGAATAGGAAAATTATCTGTACAAACAGTATCATCACCTTCAGTAGTCACAGTATCTTGCCCTGACAGTCTAATACGTAAGGGAAAACATGCAGTACAATGAAGGAGAAACACTGCATATGGTTATGGAGATGCCACATCAATAGCCGAGGAAAAACTGTTAAAAGAGATGCTCGTAAACACCACAAATGTGTCCTGAAACCTGCACATCTATAAAGCCTCTACGATTAACTTCCAGGAGTAACAAGAGGATGAGACACAAAGAAGATTTCAGACAGGAAATGATGTGTTAGTTTTATTAAAATACATAGAAAACTACTTTGTGTGTTTCTTATATATTTGCTAGATTGCACAATGTGTAACAGCACATAGAAAGCAAATTTGTTTATATTGTATCTGTAAACCTGAATAAAAACAAATGAATCTTTTTGAAATGGGTTAGCATTAGCTTTGAGGAGGTGAGTTATGAGAAACTAGTGGTGTCGACTCAAGTGAGTTTTTCAGCAGCAGAGTGAATAAAAAACACCGAATCAAACATTAAAAGATACATTTCAACTTCAGAACTAATTTCAGAGGTTGTGCAAAATCCTAGTGGTAAGCTTACTCACTTGCAAGTGGATGTCTATATTTAAATCTATGATTCACGATAGTGATGCAGTGAGCTATGTATTGGTGGTTGTGTAAAATACACTCCTTGCGTTATTAAGTACATTGTGGGTATGCCTTCTCTACAGCTGAGTGAGGTAACAGCACTCATTACTGTACAGTGGATAAGACTGTGACTGGGGTCTCTGCTACATTGTCTGCCCTGAACAGGTGTGTGTGTTTCATACCTGTACTGTTATAGTGAGAGAATGGGCCTCGCTTGATCAGTATAGTTAAGTATGTCATACTTGTCCTTTAGCGCTTTTCATTTTCCAACACTGTTACTTACATTTTGACTCTTGTATCAGTACGTCAGACACTGTCAACATAGCCAACAGAGATCAGTTTTGCATTACAACAGTTAGAAAATTTAACAAACATACACACATCACCATCTAACCAACCAACCCTTTGGACTACGCAATTTACAGAAGTCGCTACTTAACGAGATCTCTGAAATATTTTTGTCCAAAGCATACATTTATTTCTGATGTATTATAATTTTTATAGTTCTCTTAATTCATTACATTTCAAATATATTCTTCACCTTTTTTCGTCACAAAACTTTATATTATTTGCTAAGTAGACACAACTCAAATATACATTTACATATAAAATATTATACTATAATGACTTGTATGTATATTGTGAATATTGATATGAGGTGATTAGCCCTGTATCACCCAGTCTGTTATAGGGTTCTTATTCCATTGTGCATTAGTTTGGTGTATCTTTACATTTCAAAACAAGATCCACAAGGCTACCTCAGGGCCTGTAAACATGGGATGGAACAGTTGCATTGCACTTCTTACTGAGGATGATTCATTGCACGTATTGTAAAAATTGTAAACAATAAATAAATAATAATTTTGGATAAAGTAGCCACCCACATTCTGGACTGTTCTGATTACATTCCTGCCAGATTTTTTCTTATTGGGCAGGCAGAGTTTTGATGGGTCGAGTGAGTGAGCTCATGTTATTGGTGTTGGAGGAAACTTGAGGGCACACTGTCTTTGTTGGCAAGCTGCTCGAATGCCCCATAGACTCTTCTGCTGCACGCAAAAGCAAAGTGTAGTTGATAGCTACTTCCTCAACTTTTCTCAACAGCTGCAACCTTTGGGTTTCTGAACGAACCCCTCTGACCAACTTGATGAAAGTCTGTGTTAGTTCACACAACACTTGAAAGCTAGCTGAGACAACAGCGAGCATACGCGTTGGGCTTTTTTCAACACTTGCCACTCTCCGACATGATGCTCTGAATTCTTTGAAGCGCACTGCAAGCTCTTGTTTGTACTCTGCAATCCGTGAGGGCTGAAGACGCGCCTCACCCTCAGCTTGTGGGCTGTTAGCGCATTGACGCAGGATAGCTAGCAATTCATTAGCATCCAATTGTGCATTTAGGAAACCATCAGGCAAGCTGAAAGTTTTCCCCTGCAGTGCCTGAACTCGTGCTAGACTTCCCTCCAGTGTACCACAGGCTCTCAGGTCAATCTCCTGTGCCTGCGGCTCCTCCTCTTCTTCCTCTTCTTCCTCCCCACTGCAGTCTTCTGCATTGAGAACCTGGAGTGTTTTACTTACAACTGGAAAGGTATGTGAGTCCAGCTCCATGCCTGGAAGGACTTGAAGGGGTATGGAATATGAGAGTTCATCTTTCTCACTGCTTTCATCTGCTGCCTCACATTTCCTGTAGCAGAAACAGAATGAGCAGCATTTATCCTTGTCATCACTATCTTCACAGGGCAGGGTGAGCAACACCTCCCCAGTCCCTTCTTTGCTTTCACGCAGTAGTTCCTCTCCCTGAATGAAAAACACACTCCTTTTCCCCTTCCCTTCTGCCTGGTGAGACTGAGTGTGGACTGGCTCGACTGGAGTGGGGAGCCTCAGGCCTGTGGCCCTCACTCTCTCCATCTCTTTCTCTAGACTCTTGGCTTTGGGCTTCACCTCAGCATACACAGGTGTGCTCGTGCTGTTATCCAGCTCTCCGATGCTGTATCGCCTCTGAAGCTTCTTATATTGTGGTGCTCCCATGCAATCTGTTTGAGAAGTACAGGTGGGTAAACAGGAGCCCTGTTCTCCTCGTGGCTCTCTTGACTCAAGGCTGGTAGATCGTATTCGTGTGGTCTTGATCTCCAAGGTCTGAGGTCTCCTTGTTGCACCTTGAGTGTGAGGGGATTTGGAGACTGCTGGAGGAGTCTTCGAGATAGCTCTCTCTCTGCCTCTGTTTTGTGTCTCTGTTGTGGAGCCAACTGGCGTGTCGGGTAGTCGCATGCCCCTGCACATTCGCTTGCAGTCACAACTGCGTCGCTGCTCCCTGGAGATCCCTGGGGCCTTCAGGACAGGACTGGTGCGGAGCTGGCAGGCACAAGGAGTGCCTGAG